CACTGAAGAAAAATGCTGTAAAACAAAATCCCATAATTCTAAATTTTTTAAACTGCTACAATAAAAAATTTTTCAAGAAACTTCTTCAGGAAATGCAAATAATTTGTCAAAAACAACTAAACGTTCTTGAACAAAAATTAAGACATTAAAAGGTGGGAAAATAGACAGATACAAAGACATCAAATATCAGCAAGTTAAAATATAAGATTTTTTTATTAACATTTACTCATCCCTAAACCTTCAAAATTATTGAATTTTAAACAGGAACGCATTTTGAAAAATAATCATTGAATTAACCCCTAAAAAACGGTACAATCAAAACCCGGCTTTGACTACCATTTTTAACTTGTTAGGTTTGAATGCACTTTAATGAAAAAGGCTTCCTTGTTTTTTGATCTCATATGAAACTCCAGAAAAACTTCAGGAATATATTGTGACAAAACTCCTTCATCAATTACAAACATGCAAATTGAAAATGAAAAATTTACATCATCCAAAAAGAACCTTTCAATTTCCCAACTTTCATTTGAACGCTCTAGAAGAAAGAACTAAGGAAAAATACCCACCTTAACTACGGGAATTCTGTGTTTCAGCACGTACGTATAAGTGAAAACTACAAGTGTAAGAAGAGCAGCATAACAATCAAGGAAACCCGGATAAGAACAGTGGGAAAAATATGTTCTTCAGCACTTTTGCATATCACCAAAACAGAATTCAAAAAAGCCATATCATCAACGAGCTGTCTGTTCAAGCAGAAATTGATATGCCTCTCAATGTCTCACTACGACCCCAGTTGCAGTGAACTCATTTCTCGGACGCTAACCTTACGATTAAACCAAATGGAATGCCAATGGTCCAAACAAGTTACGCTATACGTAAGATCATTTGTTCTTATAGCGCACTTCACTCGAATAAAACCTTTCTTTCTCAATTTGTTCTTCACTCTCAATCGCATACACACACAGACACACAAACACACAAAAACCAGAGTAAAATCAGCACCGTTTTAGCAGCGAAAAAAGTGCACGCTTTTTCAGACGCTATGCTAACCCTCTGCAAAAAGAAAGGAACGAGTCCTCATAACACGTTGTTTATATTAACATAACAGACATTTGCTCGCCCAATGAGACTGCAAGCAGTAGACCAAACTGAATCAGTCCAAACACCAAATGCTCGCAAGTTTTGCTTTGCTTAGAATAATGAATATAACATATGAACAGAAACTGTGTATCATCTGCGACCCTTTAAAGCATAAAACGTTTATTTTCTCTGAGCAATTTGTAGCCTTCTTGCAGGTTACCAAAATAAATTCTGTTACACAAATCAAGTGCCAAAAGAAATATATTTTGATTTTTCTTACCTAAATATACTGGACGCAAAGCAGGATATCAGAAAAATCTACCGAGATTTTAACATAAATACGGGAGCTGTGAAAAAGCGCCATCACCACTACCCGTCTGC